AACCCCGCGAGTCAATATTGGACTGAGAGCTGATTTTGCTAAGTGAGCATGATTCTCTCTTTTTAACTTTTCTGTCTGAAAAAGCTGATCTAAAGATGTGACTGAGGCCGAAAATATGGAGGAGTGAAGAGGAGGGATGAGGAGGTCATCTTTGGGTGGAGCAGAGGAAGAGGAACCGTGTGGTCACAGCTGATAACACGGTGTTATTTTTGTGGAAGAGTTGGCTCCAATTATAAGTGCTCCTCAATCTGTGCTCAGTCAGCCGTTCAGCCGCACTCTCTGTATTTTATCGTGGATTATTATGTTACAGAATCCCAAAGCCAGTCTTAGCAGCCAATAGGGAAGTGCCCATGGAAGTTTTGCTTACTCTGGCACCTATTGACATTGAAAAGGAAACACAAAACTAACTTTTTGTGATACGCTCGCCATTTTGGGCTTTAAAAATCTCTCTTCAATCCTGATGTTTGTGAATCCAGATATGAGCCAGAAGGATTGACCAATCAGATTCCTTTATTCACAAGGGAAACCCCAGGGTGCTTTGCGCGTTGTTTAGACTTGTGTCGGCTTTTCACCACAGGGAAGGCAGGAATATGTCATGATAAAAAGGTCAAAATAAACGTAAAACTTTATAATTCTAAAGTTACAGCACAGTGACAGTGGAATCGCATCATAATGGACTACAGCAAGTTTCTCATCCACCTGGAGCAGTATAATCATTTTCAAACAATATTTTTTAACAAGGGAAACATTACAAAGGAAAGAGCAGCGCGTGCACCAGCCCACACTCTGACATCTGAGCATCACTGTCGTCACACGGCTCGTTACTCTGTCCTTCGTGTGACTTGTGTGTAGTTTTAGGACTTTCTTTACCTGACCCACACATATGCAACAGACTATAAAAAAACAAATACATTCATTTCCATCTGTATTTATTCACACTGAACTGAACACGCCTCTGCAAAAGGACTAAGTGGCAAGGCAGAAATGCAGAATTGTTTGGGCTCTTGTTGCGCAGTGTGTAAGGAAGAGGTGTTTGGGGGAAAAAGCCGTGTTTTAGCTCAGTGTGAAAGCGCCTACTGACTGCCCTGTGTTCACGCTTGTCCTCATTGTGCCTCATTTGCATTTGACTGCTCTGGCTACTGCTTTTTGGCTTTAACATAGAATTTTGCACTGGGGGACAGGATGTAATGTTCGCTTCTTTTGAATAGAAACCATTTCTTTAGATTGAAAAGGACTCGCTGATATTGAAATGCAAACCACGTGACTACCTTTTAGAAATGGGTTGTATCAATATGTCGTTATTGCTACAAAAATGAAACAAAAAACTTGCTTTAAGCGCTCTTTTCTTTGTGTTTTTTGTGTATCTGTCACGTCCCAAATGTTGAATATTATTGTAACGTTATGTAGTGTATTTGTTTGTTGAGAGAGCTTAAACCTGGACGCGCTTTTGCCCACAGTAATCACTTAAAGCTGCGGAGACAAAAGCCACGAGTGAGCAGTTTACGAGCCTTTTCCACGTCTCCACATGGGACCCCGTGCCCCCCTTCACGTATCTGCCACCCAGGCCTGATCAGAGGGGGTAGACAGATTTACTGGCTGTGAGTCAGCCGCAGAAGTTAATGGACTCTGCTGAAAACGCTCCAGTTTGAATCAGATCAGATGTTGTGGCATTAAACAAGAAAGTGTGTGCATTTACTTTAATATTTCATGTTGTTGAATGTGAACTTTATAGAAATTATATGAATAAAATTGTCTAATGGTCTAAAGATGAGCCAAAGTGGTAAAACAGCTTTCTGGTGGGGGACACAGGGACGTTCTAGAATCTTCCCAAATACAGAAATAGTTGCTTAACACGAGGACTCCCAAGATTATGAAACTACTTGAACTCCCAGAAATATGCAATTTTGATAAATTCCCCCCCAAGAAATGTTTTTTAACTCACTTTAGCGTAGAGTTAAGGCTACCAAATGCTAACTGCTGCAAGTAAACCATATTTGACACTATGAATAGGGTTAATATAAATATAATTTCATAAAAATAATGGCTTGGAAATAAACTACACATAGAAATGCAAAAAGTCACAAAGTTATTAAGACCAAACCTGTATGTATACGCTGAGTAATTGAACTAAAAGTCGTCAAATTGACAGCTCTGGGAGTTTTGGTGTTAATTTGACTAGAGAATTTCCAGCACACAATTTGAGGAAACGCTTGTGACGTAATGATGTCAGAAGTTCTGGATATTAGAGGGATGGATCTAAAAACAACTCCAGGTTTGTTTTTGTTACAACAATTTTGCAACATGATAGGGCAGTGTTTTCTCATGTGACTTCAATTCAACAAATTTGTGTATGTTTCTAAATCAGTGTTTTTCAACCAGTGTTCCGTGGCACGTGCCTTGAGACATTTATTAGTGTGCCATTAAAATGATCCAATATCACCTGCTTAGCCAAAATCATGTGAAAAGAAAATAGTGTGAGATGATTAGAAAGACTTTTGTGCTTGTTTGATTTTCTATATAACACACTTTGCTTGTTAATAAAGGCTGTAGTTTGAATTTGGAATACATTTTGAGGTGTATTCCAGTGCTTTTTTCCTATAGCAAAGTCTGTATCTGCGCCTCCTGAGCCCAGTCGCTCCTTCAGCTGTCCCCAGTTCTCTACGACGGAAGGGACTGAGTGTTGCGTCACGGCCAATTCCTCAAATGCACGTGTCCCAAGCTGACTGACGGTCGCCTCATCGAAATTTGCATAAAGTCAGATCCAGTCACTTCCCCTTGTGTCCTCTCAGCACGAGCCTGCATAGGACATTTTATGGGACGACACCCATGCCCAATGCAAACCAATCGAATCAGGACGTTGTTGAGACCAATATATAATAGAACCGATACCCGAGCTGAACAGTTTTTGTGGATCTGCACAGCTATCCAAAACCAGAATATGAATGTTAATTCAGAAAAAAAACATCCATAAGTCTAACACTTTTAGAGATTTTTAAAAGGGAATCCAGGCAGCTGAATTAGGTTATAAGCGTGGCCCCAAAACGATGTGACCTGAGCATGCGTAGGAGTGTTTTACTTGTCCAATCCATTCTCTTGAAAGTGAATGGATTTGGAGAATGTTTGCCTTTTGAGAAATTCTCTATTAGGATTCAGAAAGTGAGAGAGTTGGCCCTGTCCATTGATATTATAAGATACTCAAACTGTATTCAAATAATGAAAGAATAGTATTTGTTGATATTGCGTGAGACCAACTTTGTGGATTCAAAGTTGGGGATGTCAAGATTAAGGGTTCATTTGTATTCACGATCATTTAGGTCACAATATACCCCAAACATGTACTTTCTGCTCCTCTCATTCTTTTTGTCTCACTTTCCACCGTTGCACACATGTTCAATGCAAGATTACTCAACATTTTCTCTGTGAGGATAATTTTAGCTTCCTCCCACACCTCAGCTTCTCTCTCATGTCTTGCCAAATGCATTTTAGAATGACGGCAAAACCCTCTGTCTGATTTCAAAGCCTTCGCCGTCTACCGTCTGTGTCCCGCGTCTGATTTAATGCGACTTTTTCCTCTCCGAAACTAATTGCCTTCAATGAACTCACCTGTCACTTAAAGAACCTGTGCAGAATTACGCAGGATTAACCTTCGCCTTCACAGTAATCTCATTTTCTCTCATAACTCCTGTACACGTCTATGAAAGATATATTGTTTCTGGTCCATTGCTCAAGTCGGAAATGTTTTCTAAGTCCTCTGGGTTGGGGTTTTTCTCACACTTTTGGCGATCAATCAACTTTATGTTTTGGCTTATGTATGCAATCGGCTTGTGATTGTTGCGGTGGCGAAAGGAAGGACTTTAATAAGAGGATTTTTGATTTATGCTTCCTACAAGGACAAAGGAGTCTATTCAGTATATCTCAAAGAATGCATTTTACACATATTATGTCTTATTTAACTTTGAGCTATGTTACGCCATTGTTTCCCCTCGTCCACAACAGACCAGCAGTTGTTTCCACCTTTACGCTAATATCAAGAATTTCAGGCATAAAACTCAAGTTCAAGTTACAACGTGCAGATTCTATGCAACGTTTCTGTCCCCTGAGTTAAATATTATTGATTTATTTTGATCTACAAAGAAGAATGGTCCAAAATACCATCCACCAGAATCCAGAATCTTATTGGAAGTTGTAGGAAACGTTTTGGAGGATGTAGAAAATATTGAGTACATTTTTATTTTCTACTACGACGTTTCTCCCCTACTTACTTTGGATTGAATATTTCTTGCACACTTTCTGTAAATATTATAAACTTAATTTCACTTCTCAAATATTGCTGTGTTTGTCTCTTCTATTAAATACCGAATATATATTAATATATTTATGAAGGAAGATCATAAAAATGTATATTGTTAGGTGTCCAAACTTTAGCATACCGCTGTAGACCCAAGGAGTCTCGCACATAAGAGAGAAGAAATTACTCAAGCATAATTACACTAAAAACAACTTTGAGTTTGTGAATGGAAACGTAAAACAGCTGCAAGATGTTTGATTGTGCTTCTTCATTTACTGGAAATGGACGATGCGGGGCGACAGTAACTCAGTTGGTAGAGCACTGGCCTCCAGGCCTGAAGGTCGTGGGTTCAATTCCCACCTCCACACCTTCTCCACCAACTCCCACTGATGACTGCTGTCGTTGTGTCCTTGGGCAAGACACTTAACCCCACTTTGCCCAAAGCCCCCACTGAAAGATCAAGGCTATGCTCACACTCAGAGAGCAGCCGTCCTCCTGTGGACTCACCACCTGCAGAGGGTCAGTGAGGGGCTGGTGCTATGAGACTTGAGTGGCATCTCTGACTGCCACCCCCCTGACCCAGAAATGGATTAAAGGGAAGAAAATGGATGGATGGATGGACACTCATGCTTCTTTCACATAGATCGTCAGGATTGTTCATGAGAAATCGGGGATAAGGAAATAAAACAAACTTGTTTTTCCTGGTGTGTAGGATCCGTCCTCAGATGGCCAAAGAGAAGCTGGAGGGCTGTCACGTGTGCACGCTGGTGACCCCTGGGGAGCCCCAGTTGCTGTTGGGTAAAGACAAGGCCTTCACCTTCGACTTTGTGTTTGATCTGGAGTCCGAGCAGCAGCAGGTGTACCACAGCTGTGTGGAGCGGCTCATCGAGGGCTGCTTTGACGGCTACAACGCTACAGTGTTCGCCTATGGACAGGTGAGCAAGACATCTCTACTGCACACACACAAACACACTCATATACCCACACATATACACACGCGCACACACACACACACACACACACGGTTCATACAGACAGGTGAACAAGACATATCTACTGCACGCACACATACACACACACAGTTTATATGGACAAGAGAGCAAGACATCTCTACTGCACATATGCACGCACACACAAGTGTTGAAAAGCAGAAAAGCAGATCATTTAGGATCATCCATTAGAATCTTTCACTAAACTTAACCTTAAGTTTAGTGAAACTCCTATCCTATCTTTATCTTCTGTAAAGGTTTTACGTATCTTTTGCAAAGTACAAATCCTGGGAGTCCCAAAAACCGACATCGGCATTCAACTCACCAGTGTCAACACTCTTTAGGCAGCAATATAACCATATTGTTTTCTGGTTGTTGCCAACATGTGAGTCAGAGGAAGGCCAAACAACACAGCAACTTTCCCACTGTTGTCCTGTGTCGACATACCATGTTAAAACTATGTTATGTGTTATGAATCTACAGTTGGAAAAAAGCCTTAAAGGTAAAGGTGAACTTACGTCAGGAGCAGTGCTCGCCGAAGTACAACACCCGGGAACCCATCTCCAGATCTCGGGGCTACCGGAGCTAGAGGATTTAACCTAGTGGGCATGTTTTTAGTGGTAGGGGAAACCGTAGTTCCCGGAGGAAACTACGCAGGCACGGGGAAAACATGCAAACTCCACTCAGAAAGACCCTGTTCCGACTGGGATTCGAACCCACGACCTTCTTGCTGAGAGGCGAGAGTGCTATCCACTCGGCCACTGTTGTTTTAGACTGAGAGTTAAAGATCTGAGGCCAAACATCAATCAGTCAACTTTTAATCGTAGTGCGTCATTCCCACATCAAGCATAAACCATACCCATTAAAATCTGCGTAAAACATTAAAAAATACAATTAAAATCCCACAGGGCATTAAAAACACACAATAAGATTACAAGAAATATCAAAAACATAAATAATAAATTGCACAAGTTTTTAACATACATTCATGTGAAAACTAGTGATTGAAGAAAACTCTTCTGAGAGCGAGGAACCATTTAGATCATTACCTAACTCAATTTTTGCGGTTTGAATTATAGATGTCAGTTTCAATTGATGCCCTGATTCCCCTCTTCTACTGTGCAACAGACTGGTTCGGGGAAGACCTACACCATGGGCACCGGCTTCGAGGTGAGCCTGAGTGCCTCGGAACAGGGTATCATCCCACGGGCAGTGCACCAGCTGTTCCAGGGCATCCAGGGCCGACGAGAGCAGGCGCAGGAGGCTGGGGTCCCACCGCCGGAGTTCAAGGTCTCGGCACAGTTCTTAGAGGTGAGAACCATCCACAAAGGAGAAGAAAGCAGAGCCATAGGGAGGGTCTGTGAAATGATCTCTAGTTTATTCAACCATATGTACAGCCGTGATTGAAAGTTCACACTCCCAGCTCGAGATTACATTGTTTTGGAGATATTGAATTGTAACGTTTTTTTTTTTCTTTTGCCACTTCTAGTTAGTGGTTGTGTTTAGCCATATATTACACTAAACATGTTTTCCAATTTATAAAACTATTTTACCGAGGCCCAGGAATTAATAGGAATTGGAGGATTTTTGCCAAGAAGAATGGGTTGCTTTACATCAGAGAGAACCTCATCGACAACTACCAGCAAATAAACACTGATTGGAATAGTGTAGCAATTTTGAGATGGGGTTAGTATAATAATAATAATAAATAATAATAATAATAATAATACTTCTTTATTTGTGCAGCATTTTTCAAAAACAGTGTTTAAAAATATGAAGATTGAATAGTAGATACAGTAAGACAAAGGCAAGGCAAGTTTATTTATATAGCACAATTCATACACAAGGCAATTCAAAGTGCTGAACAAAACAAGAAAGCATTAAAATCATAAATTATCACAGAACATTAAAAAGAAAGATAAAAATATAAAATCCCTCAGTTGTATGCACAGTTAAACAGAACTGTCTTTAACCTGGTTTTAAAAATTGTCAGAGAGGAGGCCTGTCTCACGTCTTCAGGAAGACTGTTCCAGATTTTAGCAGCATGAATCTGAAAAGCAGCCTCCCCATGTTTAGTTCTGACTCTGGACACTAACAGGAGTCCAGTCCCTGTGCTCCTCAGAGTCCGGGCTGGTTCATATGGGACTAACATGTCACTAATATATTTTGGTGCGAGGCTATGGAGAGACTTGTACACAAGCAGAGCTGTTTTAAAGTCTATTCTCTGAGCCACAGGAAGCCAGTGCAGAGACCTGAGAACTGGACTAATGTGGTCGTACTTCCTGGTTCTAGTCAGGACTCGACCTGCTGCATTTTGAATGTACTGCAGCTGTTTTACAGCCTGTTTGGACAGACCTGTGAGCAGGCCATTGCAGTAGTCTAACCTACTGGAGACAAATGCATGGATAAGAATCTCCAGGTCTGCTTTAGACACTATGTTTTTGATCCTGGCAATGTTTTTTAGATGGTAAAAAGCTGCTGATGTTACTGATTTGATGTGGCTATTAAAATTTAAGTCTGAGTCCAGTATTACCCCTAGATTTCTGACCTTGTTTGAAGGTTTTAGGGAGAGAGACTGTAGGTGACAGATGACGCTCTCTTTGTTTCTGGGGACCAAAGACAATCATTTCAGTTTTGTCTGCGTTTAGCTGAAGGAAGTGCATCCACTCACTGATCTGTTGGATACAGTGAAGGAGTGAGTCCACTGGTCCATGTTCTCCTGCAGTCAGTGAGACATAGATCTGAGTGTCGTCTGCATAGTTATGATAGGAAACTTTGTTTCTGCGTATTAACTGACCTAACGGCAGCATGTAGAGATTGAACAGAAGAGGTCCCAGGATCGACCCCTGTGGGACTCCACAGGTCAGGGCCATATGATCTGAGACACAGTTTCCAATCTCCACAAAGTACTTCCTGTCTTCAAGGTAAGACCTAAACCAACTTAGGGCGGTGCCAGCGACTCCAACCCAGTCCTCTAGTCTCTGTAGGAGGATCTCATGGTCGACGGTGTCAAAGGCAGCACTTAGATCTAACAAGATTAAGATTGAGACTTTGCCTGCATCAGTGTTCAGCCGGATATCGTTTGTAACCTTAACGAGAGCAGTCTCAGTGCTGTGGTGGGGTCTAAAGCCGGACTGAAACATATCAAATGAGTTGTTGATTATAAGAAATCTAGTAAGCTGTAGGTAGACAACTTTCTCAAGGACTTTCCCCATAAATGGCAGATTTGAGATGGGACGATAGTTGTTAAGTACCGTAGCATCGAGACTGCTCTTTTTTAGCAGGGGCCTGATGACTGCAGTTTTCAGGGCCTTTGGGAATATTCCAGAATGAAGGGACATGTTTACTATCTGTGTGAGTGAAGGTAACAGACTGCTCAGAACAGACTTCAGAAATCTAGTGGGTAGTACATCCAAGCTGCATGTGGAGGAGCTCAAACTGGAGATTATCTCTTGGACAGTTTTATCATTTACAGGTGCAAAGTGAGTTAGCTCAGAGAGCCTTTCTGGCTGTTGGATGGTTATCTGTGGATTGGAGACAATGGCGTTTTTGATGCCTTGAACCTTGTCATTGAAAAAATTAGCAAACTCATTGCATTTACGTTTGGAAGTAAGCTCTAATGGCATTTGAACAGGGGGGTTTGTTAATCTATTAACTGTTGAGAACAGAACACGCAGATTGTTGCTGCAGCCTTCAATCATTTCAGAAAAATACCTTTCTCTCGTACTACGTAGCACCCGGTTAAACTCGCACAACTTATCTTTGAAGATCTCGTAATCTACCTGGAGGTTGGACTTGCGCCACTTCCGCTCGGCCCTCCGGCACTTTCTCTTTTGTGCCCTGACCGAGTCTGCTTTAGCCCACGGCGCCTTCTGCTTATTTTTCACTATTTTAACCTTCACAGGGGCAACGGTATCCAGAACATTCAAAACACTAGAGGTGACAGAGTTAAACAGTTCATCTACAGTAGAATACGATGCATTCTCAAAGTTTATCATTTCCATAAATAGTTCACTCGTATTTTCATTTATGTGTCTTCTTCGAACAGTTGCAGAGTCCACTGGTGGTTTGTTAGTGAAACACATGTCAAAAAAAACACAGAAATGATCCGAAAGAGCAACATCGACCACGTTTACATTTGAAATAATCACCCCCTTTGTAACTAACAGATCTAGAGTGTGCCCTCTGCTGTGGGTGGGGCCACTTACGTGCTGAGTGAGACCAAAGGATTCAAGTACAGAACTCAGCTCATTTGCATTTCTGTCATCAACATTATCCACATGAATATTAAAATCACCTGTAATAACCAAACTATCAAAATCTGTGCATACAACTGAAAGCAACTCGGTAAAATTATCAATAAAACTGTGACATGACTGCGGTGGCTTGTATAGGACTATGAAGAGTATTGGAGGAGATTGTTTTTGTTGTATTTTAAAAGACACATTTTCAAAAGACGAAAACTTCCCAAGAGACATTCTATGGGAGACAAAGTGGTCTCTAAAAATGGCAGCTAAGCCTCCTCCTTTTTTGTTTTCCCGTATTTCAGATTCAAACTTGAAATTTGTTGGTGATGCTTCTATTAAAACTGCATTTTCTGAATTTTGGTCAAGCCAAGTTTCAGCCATGAACATAAGATCAAGATTATGAGAACAAATAAAATTATTGATTAAAAAAGACTTGTTACAAAGAGATCTGACATTAAGCGTAGCAAGTTTCAAAGTTTCAGTATCAGAATCAGAATCAGAATCAGAATCAGAATCAGAATCATTTTTATTGCCAACGTAAGTAACGGGAGGTCACAGACTTGGAAATTGCTTTGGCTCAGTGCAACAGTCAAAAAGAGATAATAAAAATAAGAATAAAAAACACTTCTAAAGAATAAATTTAAATTTAAAATAGAGTTACAGTTACTATTTACAATATACAAGTGCACATGGTGCACACAATGTAAGGTGACAGCAGTACAGTGAAGTAAAGTGACGTATGATGGGCAGTAAAGTGACTTTATAAAGGGCGGGGGGACAGGTTAAGAAGTGTTCAAGAGTCCAACAGCAGAGGGGAAGAAACTGTTCTTGTGGCGGGAGGTTCTAGTCCTGATGGACCGCAGCCTCCTGCCTGAGGGGAGTGGTTGGAATAGTCCATGTGCAGGGTGAGAGGGGTCGGCTGTGATACGACCAGCCCGGCCTCGAGCTCGGGCGACGTACAGGTCCTGCAGCGATGGAAGGCTGCGGCCGATCACTTCCTCTGCAGAGCGCACAATGCGCTGTAGTCTCTGTTTGTCCCTGACTGTGGCTCCAGCGAACCACACGGTGATGGAGGAGGTGAGGATGGACTCGATGATGGCCGTGTAGAACTGCACCAACATCTGTGCAGGCAGCTTGGCTTTCCTGAGCTGCCGCAGGAAGTACATCCTCTGCTGGGCCTTCTTGATGAGGGAGCTGATGGTCGGCTCCCACTTGAGGTCCTGGGTGATGGTGGTGCCCAGGAAACGGAAGGACTCCACAGAGGTGATGGGGGAGTCCATCACGGAGGGTGGGGGCGGGGGGACAGTGCTCTTCCTGAAGTCCACAATCATCTCCACTGTCTTCTGGGCGATGATTGTGGACTTCAGGAAGAGCACAGCGGTTGCGGTCGGCTGATTCTTATACGGAACAAGAATTAGATTTTCCAGATTAGACTGATTAACTCCAGATGTTTTTCTGTAATGTATTCTTTGTGTTATCACTAAGGGAATGGCACAGGTGGCTTCATGACAGGGCCCCAGCCGGGTCTCTCCTCTAACTAGACTGCCAGTGGCTGCGAAGCAGAGACCCTGTGCATCCTAGTGCACAGGGTCTAGGGTCTAGGGTGCACAAAGCAGACAGAGGAAACACAAGATAAAGAAAAAAAAACAGTGAAATACAACATGAATACAACCGTTAAAAGCTGTTCGATAAAAGTGTTTTTTAAGAAGTGATTGTAAAGAGGAGACTGATGGCCTTGAGGCGGGACTTTTAGTGTCTGTATCATTTTGACCCATTGATCCATCCATCCATTTACTACCCCTTAATCCATTTCTGGGTCGGGGGGGTGGCAGTCAGTGCTGCACCCAAGTCTCATAGCACCAGCCCCTCACCTCAGCCACCTGACCCTCTGCAGGTGGTGAGTCCACAGGAGGACGGCTGCTCTCTGAGTGTGAGCATAGCCTTGATCTTTCAGCGGGGGCTTTTGGGCAAAGTGGGGTTAAGTGTCTTGCCCAAGGACACAACGACAGCAGTTGTCAGTGGGAGTTGGTGGAGAAGGTGTCAAGGTGGGAATTGAACCCACAACCTCCAGGCCTACAGGCCAATGCTCTACCAACTGAGCTACTGTCGCCCCATGTCGCATTTTGACCCATTGATTGAAAATTTCCCCTTCACTCATTGCAAACTCCTGAAAGGCAGAGAGTGTCTGAGTCCTCTTCTAAGAATTGTTGAAAGGGAATAGAGTAATTTGATTTAATATTATGAATAACAAGTAAATGTCTTGTTTAACCAATGGGATCATGAAAATCATTAAAAGAACTGTATGTAATATTTTCATTTAAATGGCATCTACATCTTGTATAAGTGTCTCCAGATAACAGGTCACATGAACAAATCATTTTGACCCTTTCTGAACAAGCGTTTAAAGAGTTATCCTTAAATTTGATGAAAGATTATCCAATCATGCGACCCCTCTAAGTCTTCTCTCAAAAGTAAATGATCCAGGGGAATGTAGTTTGCAACGTCCCAACTGAACAACATTATACTCTTCCTCCACAAATTGCATAGTTTTCAGACAGGTTGTTTCCAAAATCTTGTGTGTGTGTGTGTCAATTTTTTTACATAGTTTAAGTGATGAGCAAGAGGAGGGGGATGTGGCAGTAATCGAATCACACAGCTTAATGAACCCTTCCTCTGGGTCTGGGGGCCAAACCGGAGCCTTATCAGCGGGACCCGACTGTAACCGCATTAGTCTGATCATAATGAGCTGCAGGTGTGGGGGAATAATCTGGTTTTGACGTAAAAACTCAACTAAGAGGATTTTAAAGTCCAAATGACAGGTGGGACCACTCACTCCACTACAACAAAAAAGCCGAAGCAGGACCAGGACTGGAAAAAATACTGAAGCAGGACTGAAGCAGGACTGAAGCAGGACTGAAGCAGGACTGAAGCAGGACTGAAGCAGGACTGAAGCAGGACTGAAGCAGGACTCGACCAGAACTGAACAAAGACTGGACCAGTGCTACACCAGGACTTACTTGGACCACAGACTTTAAAACCATATTCTCGTCTGAAATGGTATTTTTCAACTGTTATTTTCACAGCTGTACAATGAGGAGATCCTGGACCTGTTTGATGGAACCAGAGACCTCGAGTCCAGGAGCCGAAAGTCCACCATCAAGATCCACGAGGATGGAAGTGGAAGCATCTACACGACCGGAGTCACATCTAGACTGGTGCATTCAGAGGACGAGGTGAGGTCTGGACCAGGACAAGAACTAGGGGATGGACCAGGACCAGGGGGTGGACCAGAACCAGGGGATGGAACATCGCAACTATGAGCTCTGAGATGTGTTTAAATATTTGATTCAATTATGATAAAATTATGATAAAATTATGATAAAATTATGATAAAATGTGTCTGGATTTGTTTTTTCCCTCCTGAAAGTCATTGGGTTTTTACAAAGCACAATTTTGTGACACATATCCGCTCATTCGACCATCTTGTCATCGTCATTGAAACCAGATGTTCTTATTCGAATTATTAAAAGTTTTACAATCCTGTTTCAACATCCTAGGAAACTGCCTTGTGAGTAACTCGCACACACTTTGGGATTGGTAAAAGAGCAGATTAAAAAACATGTTGGCGATTACTTGCAAAGCTCTAAAGGCTTTGTGAGTCTCCATGTCAGAAACACTCACTCAAACTACCTCTTTCTTTCATGGTTTTAGAACAGACTGCTGGTTCTAAAACAGCAGCCCTGATTAAATATTGGGGTATCAAACTTGTATTAATATATAAATAATGCATTAGATTTACACCAGAGAGGTGTGGAGAATTATGACCACAACATTCTGTTTTCATTTTATCTTTCAATGTATTTGTATACAGCCGTATACAGCCGTAAACAGCAGTCGTCTAAAAGGACTTCACAAAGTTGTTGATTCACCAACATCAGATCAAAGAATCAAGCAGTTGAAACACAGGAAATGCAATAATAAAAAAATAATGGAAAAAACCCCAAATGTCCCGGATCATCACTGTCCTTAGACCCTTTTGCCTCGACAAGGAACAACTTGTATGTGACAGAGGCCCAAAAAATGCATGCATAAGAATGTTTTTTATAGAATGTCCAGTATTTCTGAATCAATCAAACTACTTTTCTCCTCTGTGAGATGGATAGAGTTTATGTACAGCAACAGTAGTATGATATGATGCTGTGAAATGGGTTTGTTTGCGGCACAGGGTATCTCCACCTAAGTGATAGAACGGGGGTCAAAGCAGGTCTTGCAGCTGTGTCTCTCAGGTCAGAAGGGCTGAAGTCGACCGTCGACCCTCGCCTCCTCACACGCCTTCTCACACAACTCCTCACACGCCTCCTCACACAGATCCTCACACGCCTCCTCACACAGCTCCTCACACGCCTCCTCACACAGCTCCTCTCTCTGCAGCTGTTGCAGTGTTTGAAGCTGGGGGCTCTGTCTCGGACCACGGCCAGCACTCAGATGAACGCCCAGAGCTCCAGGTCTCACGCCATCTTCACCATCCACCTGTGTCAGATGAGGATGTGTCCACAGCAGGTGAATACACTCATAATAGTAGCAGCTGTAATTGTTTTAATAGTCAAACTTATGAACACCAAAAGACAAAGAACAAAAAATGAAACGCAAACAGCTTCGGAGGGGGTTGGACAAACTCCCCTCTCTCGTACATCACACAACTTACACGTTAACACACTCTCTCAGACCAGACAAAGCCCAACCCTCTCTGACCCAACTCTCTCTGCGCTGAGAACATCTCTTGCTTCTTTAGGCCTAAACGTAGTTTGACACATCCATACAAAGCCGGCTTTAAGATCTGAAAACTGACATTTTTGAAACAAGGTTCTAGAGTGGAAAAATCTGAAAACGCATGTAGTGAGGAGTGAAAAAGGAGAGGGGGAGGAGAGGAGAATGAAGAGGTTGTTACGTCTCCTCTGAAAGTCTCTTTCAGCGCCACCAACAGGCCAGGCACAGTTTAACTGCATTTTCAGGCAGTTTCTGAAACTTGTACTGTTTTCCACTGGCTCAGAACAGAGCGGAGGAGAGCCTGGACGTGAACGGCGTAGACCCCTCCCTCGCTCAGCCCGAGTACGAGACGCTGATGGCAAAGTTTCATTTCGTGGACCTGGCCGGATCTGAGCGTCTGAAGAGGACCGGAGCCACCGGGGAGAGGGCCAGAGAGGGCATCTCCATCAACTGTGGACTGGTCTGTGCCCCAGGCAATTACTATTTATTTAGAGCAGTTTGTGAAAGTGTTTAAAAAAAGTAAAAATCTAAAACATGGACAAAACAAAGTGAAACTACAAAAATTATAACCTCCAAACAAATTTATTTTCCTATGTCTGCAGTATTGATTTTAAGGCAATAAAAAAGTGTAAAACATAAAGCTGAGACAAGCTGGCTTTGGATCCCATGTAAGACGTCGAGTTTGAATTCTGTGTCTCCTTCAATAATAGAGAATTGTATTTTGGGCGATACAACTCTATGGGGAAAAAAGAAATGTTTGAAAGAAAAGTTGGAAGATAAATTGTCCTTTTGTTTTTTTCATCATCATTGTAAAAAGCACTTATGTTTAAACCATCATTGTTGGTTTTCTGCTGCAGCTGGCTCTGGGGAACGTGATCAGTGCGCTGGGAGATCAGATGAAAAAGGCGTCACACGTCCCCTACCGAGACTCCAAACTCACGCGGCTGCTGCAGGACTCGCTGGGAGGAAACAGGTTTGTTTCTCAGGGAAAATCAAATACTTGTGTAATTACTTCCTGCACAACACGTTTCTGATCCGCATTCAGAAGTCACACAGATCAACCTTTTGTGTGTTCATCGGCCGACACAGGTGGAAGATAAAATGGTCAAACGCACTGAAAACCAGCCTCTATTCTGCCTTTTATTTTTTCTGATTTTCTGATTTGATTTTTATTTTATTTGAATCAACCAGGTAAAGAACAGTTTGTGAATAAAAAAAGGAAACGTATTAACATTTTGAGGAATTGAAAAATGTCTTGGATAGCTTTCATTTTTTAAACAAGATTTTGGAGAGTTCCCTCAAATAAAAGCTTAATCTGGGAGTCAATTAAAAACATTTTGAGCAAAATCTTAAATCTTATAGTGTTGATTGGAAAGTGTGTAGTCTAATCCAGGGTTTCCCAACCTTTTGAGCTGTGGCACATCTTTTTCATTTAAAACGTGGCACACCACTAGCTGAAACTGACACAAACTTTAAACTCTGCAGCCTTTGATAAAAAATAAATACATACATTTTTCCGCACCCTGCTGTCACTCTTTGGGTCAAGAGCTGATTAGCTGAGTGAGGTTGGTCCTGACTTTTTCACTTTCCTGTCTGAAAAAGCTGAACTAAAGATGTGACAAAGGCCTAGTCAGAGCAGCAGACGGTTTTGACAGCGAGGAGCTAGTTAGATGGATTTTAATACATGGTCTATTGTTTGGTTAATTTTTCTGGTCTTTCTTTTCATTGTCTCCCGATCTGCAGCCGCACGATGATGATTGCCTGCGTGAGTCCGTCCGACCGCGACTTCATGGAGACCCTGAACACGCTGAAGTACGCGAACCGGGCGCGGAACATCAAGAACAAAGTGGTGGTGAACCAGGACAAGACGAGTCAGCAGATCAGCGCGCTCCGAGCTGAGGTGGCCCGGCTGCAGATGGAGATACTCGAGTACAAGGCGGTGAGGGAGAACCACCAACATCAGGCTTCACTTCTCTGGACTTAAACAGAAGCTTAGAAATGCACAAGATTTTAGATGGCTGATTATTATTATTATATTTTTTACAATACTGCTAATAAACATGGGGTAGAGGTTCATACAGACTTTGCCTTTATTGATGGGAATAGGTTTATTTTAAGGAGATATGTGTTATTGTGGTTATTTAGTACTACTACTACAACTGCGGCTATGACCTCCTACTATTACTCCTACTACTACTCCTACTCCTTCTACTCATCCTACTTCTACTATTACTCTTACTCATCCTACTTATTTTTTTAATTTTTTAATCCTTGTCCAGTTTGAGGGGGAAAAAACTCCTACTACTAGTCCTACTACTACTACTACTACTACTAGTCCTACTACTACTACTACCGCTACTACTACTAGTACTACTAGTACTACTCATACTACTACTAGTACTACTCATACTACTACTAGTTCTACTCATACTACTCCTACTCATGCTACTTCTTCTACTCCTCCTACTGCTAATCATTGCACTACTCAAGCCATGTAACCAGAGTGAAGCCAAATAAATCCCAAAGCCGCATTCTCCAATTTGCCCCACATTAGGAATAACCCTTGAGCATGACTGATGCAGGGCGTTTGATCGACGATGCTGACAATTATCATTAGCAGCTTCAACCGGAGGAACCGTCCCCGTGTGCTTTGTGTTTGCGAGTTACGAGGCCAGCCCTGCAGCCTTATTAAAAAATATAAAAGGATGTTGTTTATGAAGCTGAAAGACCAGTTGTACCTGCTGCCACCTCAGCGGTATGTCAGCATATGTTCACATTATGCACTGGGATCGATAAACCCGGTGTATACTGACCCGCTCCAGGAGTAATTAATGAGCCAGAGGTGGATGGCCATTATGTGGATGAGCTAAGAGAAAATAAGTGCTTTAAGCCTGAGATTTACTCTGGTTAACGATGCTGATAATAGCGGTTATGGCTTAGCTTGCAGTTTGGTTTGTTTTAAGAGTGAGGCTGCAGCTCCATCCCAGCTCCAACTCCAGGAAGTGTGTAATATATGAACGTACATTTATACTGTTGTAAATTTTGTTATTGTACGCACTCAGCAGCATAGACAGGGCACGAGTACGCCCTGATGTAGTAGGGGAAATTTTTACTGTTAGAATTTCCTTAAAGAACTTTTCCTGCTAATCTTTTGCATTCTCTTATGTAGGATTTTGTTTCACTACATCTATGTATCACTTTTTCCTGAACAATATGAGGACATGCTTGGACTGAACCAAAACTAACATATATAAGATACTTTTTTTTTTTATCTCTGTAGGGAAATTTATCGTCTGCATTTGACCCGCTGAATCCCACTAGGGCAGGGGTGGCCAACCAGTCAGAGACTAAGAGCCAATTTTTTTGCTGTGTTACAGCAAAGAGCCACATCATACAAATGTGCACTACATAAACATCACCCCAACCCTTACACACGCACGCACGCGCGTGCACACACACACACACCGCTGCTCAGACAGATTTATTGTAAATGTCATCAACATGATAATGACAGAAATTGACTCGTACAGTACTAAAGGGCTGGACTCGACTCTCCCCGGTTTGCGGGCGCTTCCACCGCTCGCTTCAGCCGCTCCCCGGTACTTTTTATTAATGGTTTGGCCCTGGTTCTAACCGGGCGAGTTGATACCAGAACAATATCACGTCAGCGAACATCAATTATGATTCCGCAATGAAAAAAGCAAGTTTCAAACCAGTATTCAGCAGAAACACAACTGTCTTTATTGAACCATGATTCACTCTGACTGCGTTTAGCAAAAGATATAGATGTGACACATAACACCAACACCACTTTAGCTGATTCAGAACCACAGACACATGTTCAGTATAAGACCAGATAGTTTTGCATTTGATTGAAGACAGACACTCACCAGGCAGGCTTATCTCCTGGTGTGGCTGGTGTTAGCTGGTGTTAGCCGATGTCCGTAAATGTAATCCATTTGGTCAAACCACCTCCAGACTTTTCGGGTCTGCCTCTACTTCTGCTGCTGCGATCTTTCATTTCACGGTTGTCACTTTTAAGCTTTTTAACTTTTCTCTGCATTGTCATGTTCGTGGGAATCATTCTGCTCCGTCCTTAGCGCTAGATCCACAAACACCTTCTGGTTTCTGGTGGAACCAGCGAGCTCAGGCTGGTGTCCTCTCTTCAAACTGAGGAAGGTGTTGCCCTCATCCAGCGACCAAGGAATTGTTTTCCGTACGGACGTCATGGGTCGAGGCAACGTGTTGTTTGTTATGATATTTGCAACAGCTGAGGCTGAAGAGTGATTGACAGCGCATCTGACCAATCAGAATTGACGTTCGCCGACGTCAGATTGTTTTGGCGGCCTGGCTAGTGGAGTGGAGTCCGCCTTTACTATGGGTCAGAACTACATAGAGAATGAATGGCAGCGCCACCATCGAGGCGTTTTTGACGCTTGTCGTGTGAAAGCCCGAGAGCCGCACGGAACCAGCCAAAGAGCCGCATGCGGCTCACGAGCCGCGGGTTGGCCACCCCTGCACTAGGGCCTTTGTCAGGAGCTGTGGGCGGTGGAGAACAGGGGACCCATCTCCAGATTTTTTTGCTCTTGGTCAGGGCCAGAGCAGGAGAAATTTACCTATTGCATGTATTTATAGTTTATAGAACATGCAAACTCCACTCAGAAAGGCCATTATTAGTGAAAAAGGGCATGTCTACTTGTATAGCACAGTTCATGCAGGGCAACTCAAAGTGCTTAACAAAACAACCAAATATAATCACACAAAGCATTAAAATCATAATCACAGCGCATTAAAAAGAGTGAAGATAAAATCTGCAAAGCTAAACTGTTTTTAACCTGGATTTGAACATTGTCAGAGAAGAAGCCTGCCTCAAATCTTCAGGAAGAAATCCGAAATGCTGCCTCCCCATGTTTAGTCCTGACTCTGGGCACCAGCAGGAGGCCAGTTCCTGTGCTCCTCAGAATCTGAGTCGGTTCGACGGAATACAAGCACTTTTTGTCTTTTATCGTATTATGGCCCCAAAGATTACAGTTGTTTGAATGCTCCTAGTGTCTAACCTGGATGACTGCCTGTTTACAGTCCGGTGTTGTGGTCCTCTGGTGATGAATGCATCTGAAATTCTGTTGTTGAAGCTGCGAACAGACCGTGCATTCACAGAGTCACTGCATGAGCATTCTTAAGTACAAAACTACAGCACAACACCAGCCCACAGAGCAGCGCAGAGGACAGGGCGCGGGACTGTGACCTTTCTTTGTGCTCTTAAAGGGACATAACATGAAAAATACACTTTTCCCTTACAGTTTGATCTTGTTCTTCTGGTTTTTCTTGTCATTTCACTTGTCACTCACAGTTGGTTATTGTGAGGCATGTTTGAGTAATTTTTATTTTCTTGCACTGGAGACGCTATTGCTCCCCGTCTCTCGTGATCTCCACATCACACCACAGACTGTATACAGATAGACAATGCTAACCCGCTAGCTCAATGAAGCCCAAAAGGGGGCTCCTTTAGACCTATTGGCCCGTGTTTTAGTGCTCTCTGTGATCCGGGTGTTTATATTGTCATAATAGACAATTGTAATAGTAAATAGATAATTGTAAATCCAATATATTGTCATATGGCTGTAAATTAGCCATATGAGGATTGACCAATCAGATGACTTCACGGGGGGAAACTTGACTTAGCAACATGTTTGCCTCTGTTAAGTCACGAAGCTAAGCCCAGTGGAAGAAAATCCCATATTAGGAAATTGGCTCCAGCATATTGCCTTAGGTACCCCAGTTTTAATGAAAGAAATGGAATATTTTTAACGTTTTTTTTCTGCTTTGTGTTCATGTAATTAATGGCTAATGCAAAACCCTCAAACCTTTTTGTTGTGGTGATGTGCAGGGAAAGCGCGTGGCGTGCGAGGAGGGAGCGGAGGGCTTCAGCGATCTGTTCACGGAGAACTCGATGCTTCAGCGCGAGAACGACACACTTCGCCTCCGAGTGAAAGCCATGCAGGAGACCATCGACCATCTGAACAGCCGAGTCACTCACCTATTGGCCAATCAAGTCAGCCACCTGCTCAGCAAGTCGGGTACGTGCACACACAAGAGCAGTACGCACTCACGCAAGTGTGCGCAACAGGGCTGATACACGCATCAAACTTGTGATACTCAGTCCTTCAAGCCCAGTTCAAACCAAGTGTATAACTGTTAACTCTCGTATGTTAGTGGTTTCGATCATTATTTTATTATTGTCCTTATAACGTAAAGAGACGCACAACCTAATAATATTAGTAATAATACAACTATTGGATCAAAGCAGCGCATAGTAAGAAGCCTGGGTCGGTCTGGTTCCAGCTGTACCAATGCACTGCCTTCAAGACGGCTTGGATCCTCGGCCAAGAGCCTTTTGAATCCATTCTTATCACTATTCGCTAACACTGTTTTTGTGTTTATATCGTGGGTAAAAAAGGGTTATATGAATCTAATTGTAGAATTTTGTACTCTGTGCATGTCATTGTTGTGGTCTGATTGTTGTAATTGTTATTCTTCTCTTCTGCAGGTGAAGGCAGCGAGGAGATCGGAGCACTGGTCCAGAACTACATCGGAGAAGTGGAGGAACTGAGGTGATCTCAGGAGGAACGGCCTGTTGTTGTGTCCATAACTCATAAGACGTACACATCTAATTCAAGCAGCTCGGGCTGTACAAACAGGAACAAAGTTTGTTTTGTCTCTGGCTTCATAATTCATAAGAATATGTCGCTGAACAGAAAATCAAATTTGTTCCAAACCATATGAACTATTTACTGTATGGAGAAATAGATTAAAAAGAAAGAAAAGCCCTAACTCCCTGGTGGAGGCTAACAGAGGCTAAAGGAGGAGCTAACTAGATTTTGTGATTCTGTATTCTTAGAGAAGGCAGAAATTTCACCCGATGTGTGTCAACACTTGGCTCATTTTAGCATTAGCTGTTTCTTTTGTCCCACAGTTTTGGTTTTTATTGAGTTGTTCATTGCCGTAGGGTCTAAGGATGATTATCGGGGAAAGGTGTTTTTAAAGCTGTATTTCCTATTATTGAATTGTTTGAATATCTAATCTGTTGTTGGTGAATAAACAATTCTATGAAGTTCTTTGAGGCTACTTCTGTTGTGATTTAGGGGACCTTTGTCAAAATAAGCTAGCAAATGGGTTGGCTCGCCCACTTAAAAATCCACCAATCAGAGCACACTTGCCGCACAGCGCTCATAATAATGCTCTCCTCAATCCAAGTGTCCAGAACAAACTGAACAATCATCATCTTGTCTAAAGAAGTATGAGTCGCCCTTTAGTCCCTTCATGTCTGTGTGTGTGTTTTAGTTTAACCCGTCTCCTAAAGCACAAGTCTAACACATGTATTTGTTTTCTCCTCAGATCCAAGTTGTTGGAGAGTGAAGCGATGAACGAGTCGTTGCGGCGGCAGATCACCCGTCTCTCCGCTCGTACTCCGTTCCCCTCTGGCCCCGCCCCTGCGACCATGGAGACGGATGCTAGCGACGTTATTCGCAGAGCCAAACTGGACATGGAGCGCCTGAAGAAGAAGGAGCGGAGGCAGCGGCGCATGAGGTGCATACATTTACTTAAACGTTAGGTTTCTTATTTTCACTACTTTTTTATTAGACAAGGCCAATTTAATTGTATAAAACAGTACGTACGCAAGGCAACTACTGTTAAGAAAACATGGCGCTATAATAACAGCACTCTTTCAGTTCAGGCCATTGTGGTTTCCTGTCACTTTTCAATCTTTTTAAGAATTCAGTTTTGATGCTGCGAAGACTGGGACAGATGGACACGGAGTAGAGCAGTGCACCAGAAAAGTGGAAATTATTGCTTGGGACTACAGATGAAAAATAGCCGTTTGGCTAATTCTGGCATATTTACAGAAATGTTCATTAATATGCACTGTCCCAATAATAAATAAATAAATAAATAAATAAATTGTATCTGATCCATACCGTATAATTATATTAAATATAAATGGTTATTGGATTATGCCTGTACTCATTTATAAGCATTTGCAGTAAAGAAATAACAAATAAGTTATAAATTAGTCCTGGATTTACGGTCTGTCTGTGGGAGCGGATCCCACTGTCAATTTTTTCTGGGACATTATGTCGAACTGTTTAATTCTCTGATCAGCTGTTGGCAAATGTACAAATTCATGATATCCTTTACAATAACAAATTGAATTGAATTGAAAGATGACAAAACATATTCTCTCCCAATCACAACCGCTGACACTTCCTCGTCTTAATTTGCAGTAATTTCTTACAGGTCAGTGTTAATTAACCAGAGCCTCTCCATCCGGTAATCTCCCTTTTAAAAAGACTTTCACAGAAGCGCCTGGTTCGGGTCCAGGTCTGGGTGCAGCAGGCGCCCTGGGTCAAAGCAGAGCAGAGTGGAGTTAACAGGCTCATGAGGATTAAAGCAGCTCAAGACAAAGCCTGCAAAATTGAAGGCTGTGGTTAAAGTAAAAACACAGCAGGAACAAGCAGCCATAAGCCATGGATTGATTCTGGACACCACACATCATCAACTCAAGAAAGTTTGAAATAAATACTTACTACTACTACTAAAATATCCTACAGGACTAGAGCCGGACTGTTTACCTCGCTGCTAAACCAAACTCGGTTCACTTAACAAACAATACAAATAGATGCACTAGGACTAAAACATATTTGTGGAGGGTACAAGTATTTGTCTTCCAGAAAAATCCAACATATTATCTTCATGTTTGTGAAAGTGCAGGAGTTCAGTTCAGGGAGTTTGACGCCTCTGTATATATTTGTAAGGGAATGGCGCCCTCTGCTGTTAAAATTATGCAAGAGTCTTTCTCGGGTCTGAAAGCTGCGAGTTCCCCTCTGTGCATTTACAGAATTCAGAAAGTGTGTTCCTCTTTGATCTGAATGACTTAATATAGTTCATATTCGCCAAATTCTCTGAAAGGAAATGTGCCTGTTCTGTAAAAAAGCATTGTGGTCCGATCAATTTTTTATGTTTTGAGCTTCACTGTCAATTCCACTCCATTAGGTGTTTTGACACTGATGCAGACCCGTGTTTTGTGACCCATGGCATGTTGACCCAGAACAACACTGGGACAGGTTGAAGTGTTGTTTGGACCTCCGTCTGCATTTCTCGTAAACCTAGCACACGTTGTCTTTATTTTTCTCAGTCCGGAGCTGGAGAAGGGTCTGAAGAAGCGTGTGAAGCTGCACACATCCGAGAATGGAGAGAACGGACACCGGACTGAAGTGAACGGAGAGAACAGAGAAAACGGAGAAAACGGAGAGAACGGGGAGAACGGGGAGAATGGGGAGAATGGGGAGAATGGGGAGATCGACTCTGACGACAACTACACTGAGGTACAGAATCTTTCCTTGTCTCTTAAACCCCTTTTCAACCTTGGTTCTGGTTCTGGGCTGGTGCTGGTTCCAACCTTATTAAACTATAAGGAAACGGCAAAGATAAAATATTTAAAGTCCATAGCTGCTTCTCATGTCTGACTCCTGTCTAAACTGGAGCCCGGTCAGGGCCAGTTTTTGGCGTTGTGTTCCTGCTTTATTTGAGTTGAACAGGGTTATTTAAGTGAATATTACTTTTTGAAATGTTAATAGAGACAATTTTTTCCCAAAGCAAGCACTGGTTATACCGACCCATTCTCACCCCCCCTGATTTCTGACTGGGCAGAATGAATTTAGATCCTTGATACGCAGACAAGGCCCATTGCCATAGGCCAAGCAATAAATACTATATATTGTTTTTGGAAAAAATGAAATACAATTTGAAGTTGCAGATATCACTTTTAAAGATTAGGACCTCTAACGCTGTAAACTTGTGCGTTGTGCTGCAGGACCTGATGTCTCCGCTGCAGGAGGAGAGTGGCTGTGAGGAGGGGGAGGAGGAGGAGGAGGGGAGACAGGAGGAGGACTTCGACAGCGATGAGAGCTGTGTGGACTCGGACTCAGACTCCGACGACAAAGGTGTGTGCTCTGCTCTTCTTCATGTGTCTCACCGTTATGCACAATCTTCAACGAAGTGGTAATTTAGGGGATGTCCCTTGGAGTTTTCTGGTGTCTATATGAGGGATCAGAGTCTCTGGAAAATAGATCGTACCATTATAGTTTCCAAAATAAGAATAAATGTTGTTTTTGCCAACAGAAACAGTAGTGTAATAGTATGTCAGATTCAGATTTATATTTAGTAGCCATTTGCAGTAAAACCACATTGGAATAAATTTGCGAAAAGTCTCCAGTGTGCCCAATACAAATACATAAACAAACAAGGTTAAAAGTAAAGAAGTAATTCAATAAAAAGTGCTGGAAACAATTGTCACTTTTGAAATCGATGAAAACCATTTCAATACATGTGTGTAAGTAAGTAAGTAATCTTTATTTATATACCGCCTTTTCACTGCAGATCTGAGTCTCAAAGCGGTTTACAATTGTTAATTATGGGCATTTATCTCTCACTCCACACAGAGATGGGAGCGGGGTCGCCAGTACAGGAGGCGCATGCCAGACATGCCTATTGGACATATTTTTAGTGGTAGGGGAAACCGGAGTACCCGGAGGAAACCTACGCAGACACGGGGAGAACATGCAAACTCCACTCAGAAAGGCCCTGGTCCGACCGGGATTCGAACCCAGGACCTTCTTGCTGAGAGGCGAGAGTGCTATCCACTCAGCCACCGTGCCGCCCAATGTGTGGTCTTTGAAGTGTTCTGTTTAAACTGGGCCAGAAGAGTCATTGATTATTCTAAGAGCTCAGTTTAAGAGTGGATTCATATAAAGAACCTCCAGAACAGACAGCTCACAATCTTCTTTCAGAAGTGCATGATGACAAGGGACATTAAAATCCCGTCAAAACCTGACTTTTGTGGAAGCTGTAGGTTCCCTGTCACATCCCATGTGGATTTAACCTGCAGTGCTGCAGGTGGCCCCTTGTCCACGAGGAGATACCCTATCCACATAATGAAATACATCCATGGGACAAGCCGATTTCTAAATGAACTAAGCTTGAGGAGTTTATTTTTCAATATGAATCAACAGGAGCCAGAGCGAATTGGAGCCAAACCTCGTCCATGAGCGTACAGTGTATGGGTCTGAGTGGACTTGTGTGTGTTGCAGGAAACCTTCAGGCCGACCTGGCCGAGCTGACCTGTGAGATGGAGATAAAGCAGCGTCTGATCGATGAGCTGGAGAACAGCCAGCGCAGACTCATGATGCTGAAGCTTCAGTACGAGGAGAAACTCATCCTGCTGCAAAACAAGATCCGAGACACGCAGCTGGAGCGCGACCGCGTCCTACACAACCTCAGTGAGTCAACAAGAAGTGACGATCAATCCATCAATCAGGATGTTTATTTCAGAACAGCTACAACATAATTCCACCGAACAAAACAACACACACTTGTATATATTTGGTGTGAGGGGTTGCATGAAGCCTATAAACATTCAACCCCTAATTCAACACAGAACTAAAATGTAGAAAAGCTATCAATAAAATGGCTTTAGAATAGTTACAAAAAAACATTTTTGTATTTGGTGGCACCAAGAAAAATAGGGAACTTTGTGAAAGTTGTAGACTCCCCGTCAGCTGAGGACGAGCCGTTTAGTTCACTTTAAAGTCTATAGAGACATCTCCTTACAGCCCAAGTGGATTCAAGCTGCAATACCGTGGGGGTCTAGTCCATTTGGATACAAGTTTAAGCAGCAACACCCTATCCACATAATATAATTCATTCATGGGCAAAATATGAGTACACACACGCACTCCCACACGCACTCCCACACGCACACACGCACACACACTCTGACTCTCTGACCGTACACCTCTCTCCCCTCCCTCGCTCTGTGCTGTCATCCTCCATGTACTTCTTAATTACTTTAAAAAAAAAAACTCTTTCATTGACTGTTTCTTTTTTATTCAAATAAGTTTAGTTTAGTTTTAGTCTATATTTGACAGTGGACAGTGCATAACAACTAGGGATGTAAAAAATCTATGAATTTTCATGACCGACCACCGAGCCTCATTAACCGGTTGAAACCGGTTAACCGCGTACAGTGGTTCGCCCCCCTGGAACCTTTCAACATTTCGCCACATTTCAGGCTTCAAACATAAAGATATAAAAAAAAAATTTTTTGTCAAGAATCAACAACAAGTGGGACACAATCGTGAAGTGGAACAAAATTTATTGGATAATTTAAACTTTTTTAACCAATAAAAAACGTAAAAGTGGGGCGTGCAATATTATTCGGCCCCCTTGCGCTAATACTTTGTAGCGCCACCTTTTGCTGCAATTACAGCTGCAAGTCGCTTGGGGTATGTCTCTATCAGTTTTGCACATCGAGAGACTGGAATTCTTTCCCATTCTTCCTTGCAAAACAGCTCGAGCTCAGTGAGGTTGGATGGAGAGAGTTTGTGAACAGCAGTCTTCAGCTCTTTCCACAGATTCTTTATTGGATTCAGGTCTGGACTTTGACTTGGCCATTCTAACACCTGGATACGTCTATTTGTGAACCATTCCATTGTAGATTTGGCTTTATGTTTTGGATCATTGTCCTGTTGGAAGATAAATCTCCGTCCCAGTCTCAGGTCTTTTGCAGACTCCAACAGAATGGTCCTGTATTTGGCTCCATCCATCTTCCCATCAATTTTAGCCATCTTCCCTGTCCCTGCTGAAGAAAAGCAGGCCCAAACCATGATGCTGCCACCACCATGTTTGACAGTGGGGATGGTGTGTTCAGGGTGATGAGCTGTGTTGCTTTTACGCCAAACATATCGTTTTGCATTGTGGCCAAAAAGTTCGATTTTGGTTTCATCTGACCAGAGCACCTTCTTCCACATGTTTGGTGTGTCTCCCAGGTGGCTTGTGGCAAACTTTAAACAAGACTTTTTATGGATATCTTTGAGAAATGGCTTTCTTCTTGCCACTCTTCCATAAAGGCCAGATTTGTGCAGTGCACGACTGATTGTTGTCCTATGGACAGACTCTCCCACCTCAGCTGTAGTTATCTGCAGTTCATCCAGAGTGATCATGGGCCTCTTGGTTTAAAGTTTAAATTATCCAATAAATTTCGTTCCACTTCACGATTGTGTCCCACTTGTTGTTGATTCATGACAAAAAATTAAAATTTTATATCTTTGTTTGAAGCCTGAAATGTGGCAAATTGTTGAAAGGTTCAAGGGGGCCGAATACTTTCGCAAGGCACTGTAGTTAAAAATATTTCACGTTCTTTGAAATAACAGCCATTTCGATGCCGCGTACTTCTCATAAGTGCAGCTCTGCGTTCTACTGGATCAGAGCCGAGACAGTGGCGCCAAAACCCACAACAGCTTCGGCACCTTTGCACACAGAGAACTGCAACTTTGACGGTAACAGAGGGGAGAGATGATGCGTGTGTGTGCGCGTGCGCGCATATGTGGCGCTGATACATGGTCGCACACAGCTAGATACGGACCCGCTTGTCACATCGTGCAAAAAGGGCTTAAAATAGCGTTATTAAGAGACCTCCCCTTTTCTCTTTTTTAACCGACAGCTTTGACCGGTTAACGCTGTGACGGTCAACCACCGGTTAAACGGTCACCGATTTACATCCCTAATAGCAACATCAAGCTCAAGGAGAGATATGTTTTGCACCAGATTATAGCTACAAAGCTACTTTCCCTCTGCAGTTCCGATGTGTCTGAGATACACATTGAAATTAAGCAAAAATCAATGGCAAGTTTACTCGAAAGCTTTGAAAGGGTCACCAAATATGTAACGCTTGATCGGGTTTTGAGTCCAGTTTCGAGTCCGGTTTTCAGTTTGTATGCACCTCGCAAATGCTGTTTTTGTTCACAGTGTCGATGGAGAACTACACAGAGGAAAAGGCCAACAAGGTGAAGCAGGACTACGAGAAGCGGCTCAAAGAAATGAACCGTGACCTGCAGAAGCTCCAGGCCGCACAGAAGGAACACGCCCGGCTCCTGAAGAACCAGAGCCGCTACGAGAGGGAGCTAAAGAGACTACAGGGGGAGCTGGCCGACATGAAAAAGGCCAAGGTACTGAGGAGCACTGGGCTTTTCCACTGTTTACTGAGGCATGGCATGTTTTAGAATGAGACAAAATATGACTATTCTTATTCTCCATTCTGTGGGTGTCCTGCAGGTGACGCTCATGAGGCAGATGAAGGAGGAGCAGCAGAGGAGGAAGATAATCGACGCCAAGCGGAACCGAGAGATTGCACAGCTCAAGAAGGAGCAGCGCCGCCAAGAGGTCAGACATCAAAACAACTAAACCGTTAGCCCCGACCATGAACAGAGGCAGAGATGACGTAAACAAAAGTACATCATCTTTAAATACTGGAATATCCTTGGGCAATAATCGAAATGCCCAATGATCTAAATCTCTAAATTTGTGTACATGAAAATACCAAACTGAGTAAGAAGGGCAAGGGTTTGGGTTAATGTTTCACCAGTTTCCTCGCTGTTCTGAACCCTCCTCTCTCTTCAGTACCAGATCCGTGCGCTGGAGTCCCAGAAGCGGCAGCAGGAGTTGGTTTTGCGGAGAAAGACGCAGGAGGTGAGCGCGCTGCGGCGGATGGCCAAGCCCCTGTCTGAGCGCGCGGCCGGGAGGGTGAGCCAGCGCTGGACCTCCGCAGACTCCGGGGCCGAGCTGTCCCCCTCCACCCCCACCCTAGAGCCCTCTGCTGGAAGGGGTTCCGTCAGCGGCCTGGTGCGCCACTGGAACAACAAGAACAACGTGTACGGGGGATACCTGGCCGAGAGCGAGGGCAGCATGGACGGGACCAGGGTCATCGGGTACGTCACCCAAGAACTGGGTTTTAAGCCTGGCAATATTTATTTTACAAAACTTTAAAAACACAGTATAAAAAGTGATTACAATACAAAATTGATTAATTAACTGATTTAATGATTTTTTGACACAATTTCACATCATCCTTCAACATTTAGACATTTAGAAATTAATTATCAATGTTTTGTAAATTAAAGGCAGGAATCTTCTGCGTGTAATATATCATATCGCTATATTAAAAACTCCAGTGGATTTAAAAATCTAGGGACTCCAGCTTTTAAGAGCCATGATTAACACAACTAATGCATACTATTAGTTATTTTTGTCGACCAATGTTCAAATAAAGTTGTGTATTAGTCTTTGCACTGATGTTGCCTTCTTCTGTCTGCAGCAGCAGGAGGAAGCTCGCTCGTAAACCCGCCCTCCTCCCTCACCTCAGCCCCCTCCACAGAGCCAGCTCGTCCTCAAAATCAGCGCGTCAGAAGTGGCAGACGCTGGAGAGCCGCATCCGGGACATCGTGATGCAGAGGATGACCATCGCCAATGTGGAGAATGACATGGACCGACTCCTCAAGGTCTGAAGGGTCTCAAGTGCGATGAGTGGATGGACAAGTCCTTTTGACTCTAGAACTAGTGATAAAATAGTTTTTGTTCATGTGACATCTCAGCATTCCAAAGAAGTATAGTTTAACGTGCGTTTTTCTTTCCCTTCCACAGAAACGAGAGGAGTTGATGGGCCAACAGGAAGCTCTGTCCCATAAACGGCAGGTGCTGATGGCGGATGGAGAAGGGCCAGAGGCAGAGGACCGCCTCCTTCAGGAAGTGGGAGAAGACATGGAGGTCCTGAACGCCAACATCGACTACATTAACGACAGTCTGTCAGACTGTCAGGCCACCATCGTGCAGATTGAGGAGACCAAGGTACGAAGCACTTGTATCAGGGGTGTCAAACTGGTTCCTGGCGGGGGTGTTGTAGGGCAGTGTTTTTCAACCACTGTGCCGCGGCACACTAGTGTGCCGTATGATATTGTCTGGTGTGCCGTGAGAAATTCGTCTACTTTGTCTAAAAATAACTGCATTCGCTGTTGACGAGCGGTGACTTGTTTTGAACTGTGGAGTAACCATGTAATACTTTTTCAAATCAGTAGATGGCAGCAGATAGCTAAGTACTTTGAAACTGAAAAATTGGATGCGACCACTGGCTGTAACAGGTCAGCATTGTGGCGAGAAAGGTAAAATTGGATGCGACCAACAAATGTGGGAGGGAGCGAGACAAGAGCTTTGTGGCGAGTGAGAAGTGAAAGTGATAGAGACGTTTTTGAAAATGAATTATGCCGTTTCTGAACAGGATTAACATCCTCCGCTCTGCCCCGGGGCAGCTGTGGCCGCGTTGTAGTGGTTTAACTATGAAATGTACAATTTTTGTACAACAGCTCTCGCGAACGCACTTCTGAACTGGGTACCGAGCGCAGACCATAGTCGAGTGGACAGAACCACAGACATGCGGACCGGACAGAACCATGGACTCGCGTTCAGGACCTCCCGTGTCCCTCATCCAAAACTCCTGAATTTAAAGCTCGGATACCAAAATGTTTCCCATGCACTAACAATGCATGTTCTTTGTGTGAGTTATTATTTGACTATTTGGGCAGAGAGTGGATTTTCTTAGTTTATTTCCACACAGTTAGTGCCACTTTATTCCCAAACTCTTGTTAATTGTATCGAGAAATATTAAATAAAGCTTAATGTCAAGGCCTGGACTTAAGCATTTTGATGAGAATAACTGTATATTGTGAATATAGGCTACAGAGTATACTGTATACATTATAAGATAAGATATACTTTATATATCACACAGAGTATGTACAGTATATATTTTTACATTAGTACTGTATACATTTTTACATTTTCTCCTGGAGGTGTGCCGCAAGATTTTTTCAGTGAAAAAAGTGTGCCTTGGCTCAAAAAAGGTTGAAAAACACTGTTGTAGGGGGTTAAATGTTCAGAAATGGGAAGTTGTTTCCACTGATAGCACTGTTCTAATGAAGTGAACACCAATAAGACCATTAAATGTGTTTTCTCCTGTGATTGTACATATTTGCAAATACACTTTGTAAAAACAAATAAACAATCACAGGTTCATTACTTAACAATTATTGATTGACAAAAAAATGAATCAATCTTGAACACACATTCCCCCAAACCTTAGGTCTGATTGTTTTGTTATTCTAGATTGCAGCCTTCAGTGTCATTACCTTGCAAATCCAAAGTAACCATTGGATGTCATAAACACAAGTTCATAGTGTCATCCAGCCAACTTCAGCTCTGCCAATTTACACATAGCATGCTATAGTAAAATTTGTTGAGAGTAAGCATTTTTCATACCTCATTATGGAGCTCGGAACAGCCCAAATCTATCATGTTCCCTGGACATGTCTGGTGAACTAAAAAACACCCATTGTGTTTGTCGTCTGCCAGGACGAGCTGGACTCTGTGGACTCCTCTGTGGTCATCAGCTCCTGCTCTCTGGCTGAAGCTCGTCACCTGCTGGACCACTTCCTCAAAGCCTCCATAGACAAGGTAACGTTTCCATGACAACTGAGTATTCTTATTCTTATTAAGCTGATCAAATATAGCTTTGTGACGTTTTCAAAGGTGTATTTTTATTTGGCAAATATTTGTTCAAATATATACATTTGTAATATCAGCATGGCTTTTCCCAGTGCTCTTAAATGCATCTGTATCTGGCTTTGTCTCAGTAGTATCTGGTTGGTTACACCCCCGTTACACTAAAAAAACTGGATGTTTAATACCTCGATCGACAAATGGCTTTACAGGCGTCCCGCTCAATCTCAGAGTGTCTTTGTAAACAGATCTTCCCTGTCCTGTTGTGTGTTTGCAGAGCTTGCAGGTAGCTCAGAGGGAGTCTCAGATCCGGCTACTGGAGGGCCAGCTCCGACAGACAGACGTGATCGGCTCCTCGCACAACCACATGATCCTGGACGCGCTGCGAGAAAAGGCAGAGTGCATCCCGGAGCTGCAGGCGCTCATACACAACGTCACACAAGGTCATTCAAACACACTATGTCTGTAGAAGTGTGAGATTTCATAACACTTTTAAGCAACTTTTGTTAAGGTTAAACTCATCATTCTATCAATGTGCAGAAGCCTGTACTTTTCCGCTTCATGTTTTGACTATCTCTGCTGGCACCGTGGAAGCTGCTGATTGGAGGTCTCCATGCCTCCGCTCTGTATAATACACTTGCATTCTGTTGTATCTGTGTTCGTGTTGTTCGTGCTGTCTCTACCATTGACAATAAAACATGTCTTCTGTCTGAATTAAAGACGCGATCCCAGACTTTGTCATCTTCTTCAGAAGCATTTACTGTATGTACAGTATGTGGTTTTGTAGCTGGGGTTTTATGGTGCTTTTAGACCGCAAAAAAGGTGAAACGCACGTTCTCTAGTTTTCAGACACAGGGGTCTTCAGACCAGAGGTCCTGGCGCGCGCCGGAAGTAGCCGGCGGGCTTTGATGCTAACAAAATTTAGCTAGCGGCTTCTTGTGTACAGATCTTCTCCAATAATGCAGCTTTGCAGCGTGTCTGTGTTCAGAGACCTTCACAGACTTTATATAACAGTAGTATGTGTTCACGGAGGTGTGCAATGAGCATGAAAACTCACATGTTAACAAGCACTATGTCCCCCATTGTCAACCCTGGTCTAGTCCTGATGTAGCTCCTCTTTTGGCTGTTTACGAGTATTTTCAGTCTGCTCGCTCAGTCCACTAATGTCCCCGTGATTGGTTGCTGCACGAACGTCCCGAGGAAAGGTTTAGCGATGTTTATCTCCTGCGTCCTCCCCTTCAACTTCCCCGCGCGGTCCGTGCGTGCATTCCGAGACGTTTGTGCGTTTTGACGCTCAAACGCCCGTCACCATTGACTTTGCATCGAAAGCCGACGCAACGCATGATCCGGTCTGAACGCAGAATTAGAAGAAAATATATGAAAGTGCCAGTTGCAGAACACATGATACATAATACATGGGACTACGAATGGAAAATAGCCAATGACTAAATCCAGTGTTTTTATAGTTTTTACTTTCCGTTAATGGACATTGTCCCATTCAAGAAAATTAAATTCCCAGAATAAAATAAATAATTAATTATAACTCGTCCAAGCAGGGCCGCCCAGACTTCCGTCTCCACGCACCCTTCCTTCAGCTATTAAATATAATATTGTTGAAAAATACTTACTGTACACAATAGTAGTACACTTTTGATGTTAATTTGTTCTATTGTTGTTTGTGTTTCAGAAAACGGTTACGTGAGCACAGACGAGGAGCCGTCAGAGACCTCAGAGTGCAGGTACACACACACACCTATGCATGCAAACACACTCACACCATCTCACACTCACGCAAACACACTCACACGCTATTTCAGACTTATTTATATAAGTCCTTGTCAGGATTCATTACCTCTCTGCACGACACTATGGCCACTCAGAGGAGTAACCATAGCAACAAGCTTGAGCTAAACATGTGCACTTTAGTACTGTTGTTATATTAAATATAAGTTATTGATGTTTGTCTCCTACAGGGGATTTATCTATCTATCAAAACCTTCTGCTTTCTAAAAAGGGCTGGATAAAGCTAAACACTTATTTTCTAAGCACAGACTGATATTTCCAGTTACTGATGATTGAAGCTGTATTTTCTGCAGTTACTCTGCTGCTGTTTTCTGATATTAATAACTTAAATAACTCCTCTCCCCTTCTCTTCTCAGCGTGTCACAAATGAAACTGTCCAACAGCCAGGACGACTTCAAGATGAAAGTCATGCAGGTTTGTCAACAGGTCAAAAGAAAAAAGATGATTTTCTTCTATTGTTAGCTATAAACTTACATAGACATATTGTTTTCTTCAAAAGAGTCTTAAATTGGTGAATATATAAGATGCCAACTTCATAAACCAATAGACTTGATAAAGACGTGGATCAGAATATACACACTACAGTTATACATACATGAATTCAAACATATTTGTATTCTGAGGCTTTGAAAAATACATTTCTAAATTCAGGAGTTATTTATTTTGTTTCTAATGTATTTTCAATTCTCCAAAACATCTTCCAACTTGTATGTATTTGTTTATTTTGCAAGACACCAGCATAAGAAAGAGTATTTGTCATTCATCCATCTATGAATGAATGGGGATGGCACTCTCGCTTCTCAGCAGGAAGGTCCTGGGTCGGAACAGGGTCTTTCCGAGTGGAGTTTGCATGCTCTCCCCGTGCCTGCGTTGGTTTCCTCTGGGTGCTCCAGTTTCCCCTATCACTAAAAACTTGTACAGAGCATCAACATCTGGAGACCACTGCTCCTGACATAAGCCTTAGCAGCATCAGGATGGTTCAAATGCAGAGGATCAATTTCCCTACGGGGATAAATAAAGTACATCTTTACCTTTACCTATTCTATTTTTTTTTTCTAATTCCTGATACTCAGTGGAACGTATTACTGACAGTTCTAATTTTATCCACCAGGGGGAAATGTAAGCCTACTTTTAAAAACATATCTGCTCTTCTTTTTACACACTATCAAACAAGTGGCAAAAATGGCTGCAAAGTATGACAAATATTGAACTGTTGCTCATATATTAAGTAACCCCTAATTTATATAGCGCCTTTCACAGACCAGAGTCAAAAAGCACTTTGTGTTGAGTGAGACAAATGCCCACAACAACTGTAGAGATGGGAGCATGGGTTGCCTGTACACAGGAGGTGCATGGCAGACCTATTGTACACGTTTTTGGTGGTAGAGTAAACCGGAGCACCCGGAGGAAACCTACACAAACACGGGGAGAATGTGCAAACTCCACGCAGAAAGGCTCTAACCACTGCACCCCTGTGCTGCACAAGCAAAAGTTGTCTGCCTTGAAACATTATTTGACGATGCATTAAGCAGCTTTATTCTTACTTCAAGCAGAGAACCCTAACTCAGAGTAGTTTTTATTACATATTTAAAAATGTTTCCCCCTAATATTCTTCAATTACGCTAGAAATGATGTCCTCAGTAATTTATTAAATCGGCAGGACCTACCTTTATTTCATTAATATTACATGTTGTGATGCTGTCTAATTAGAAAACACGTTATCTTATGCATCAGAAAGAGCCCTGTGTGGTTGATTGAGAGTGGTCTTCTGTATTCATTTTTTTGTGTGTGAAAAAGCTGATCTAAAAAGGCGACAAAGGCTAAAAATACATACTAGAACCAACCTGTTTTGAGAATGAGGGACGAGTTAAAATCGTGTAAGATTTCTTAATCTTATGTTTTAAACTGTGTGTTCTTGCCATGTTTCTTATGTGTTTGCAGTCTGAGCCGCGCTTGTCGGTCCAGATCAAGGCGGTCTCTGCAGAGTACCTGGGTCCGGTGCAGGATGGTGGCAGCAGCAGCAGCAGTAGCAGCAGCAGTGGGAGCAGCAGTAAAGCCCAATACTTCACCAAGTCTCTGGCCTCGCTGACGGACATCCAGGAGGACGGTCTGGGCTGCGCCAGCTTCAGTCTCAGCCTCAGAGAACCGCTGCAGAGAGAGAGGGCCTCCAGGACCATCAGCCTGCCCATACGCGGACACACTTTGTGAGTACAGGTTACAACACTTTTCCTTCGTCAAAAACAGACCTGGAGTTGTCTCTAGATCAAGCATGGCGACTCAAGATGTCTGCCCATTCAAATCAAGGGCCTGTGCTCATTAGCGTCCTGGTATCACAGAGGCCCAAATATTGGTGGCTTGTGTAGTAGGTGTAGCCATCCATCCATCCATCCATTTTCTTCCACTAAATCCATTTCTGGGTCGGGGGGTGGCAGTCAGAGCTGTACACAGAGCACCAGCCCCTCACTGATCCTCCTGCAGGTGGTGGGTCCACAGGAGCCTTGATCTTCCAGTGGGAGCTTTAGGCAGAGTGGGGTTAAGTGTCTTGCCCAAGGACACAACGACAGCAGTCATCAGTGGGAGTCGTGACGTAGGTCTTGTGTTGGGCTTAAACCTACAAACTCGACGACCTCGTCGACCCGGTCCACACACACATCTGGCTGTCGTCTCAGACACTCGGGTGAAGAGAGGGGCGGAGCTGTCAACCGGTCACCATCTGGTCTTGAGTTGGATCCGCTGGCACGTTTTGAAAGAGTGGGAGGACATTGAGTCTGAGTGGGCCATGTTCATGATTTTCCCAGTTAACCTTTTCTTTCTTTCTCCTGACAGATCAGTACACAACGTCACAACAAGTGTGTGTGGTGGAAGTTGTGGTGGAAGTATTGTATTTTGTGCCCCATTGTTTTCCTTGTTGCTCTAAAAATCATTAACATTTAAAACAGGTGCCTCTCCCCCATATAAAGTTCTCAAATCACAGAGTTTCAGAGTGGAGTTGGCTTTGCGCAGACAGCTGCAGAAGGAAAACTCTGATTCGACACACACCTCGGGCCATGAGCGAGTCCCAAAGATAATATTCACACAGAAACGGATTTAAATATGACATTAAAATAAGTACGTTTGTGAAATATTAAGTCTGTGTTATCATCCAGAAAATAATTATTTCAAATGTGGGCTCAGGCAGATATTTAACACCAGGACTCACAGAATTTATCAAAGTACCAGAACTCCCAGACCAATCGAAATCTGAGAATTTAACTATTTTTAATGTTGTTTTAATGTTCCATCAGATTTAAAGTTCTTCACCTTTACTCACTTTTACTAAGTGCTAAAACTGGTGAATATATCTAAAATACAAGAAAAAAGGCCAACTTCTAACTGCTGCAAGTAAACACTCAGCTCAGAACCAGCACCAGTCCAGAACCAGCACTCTGAAAACTGCCACAGAAAGTTGGTTGCCAAGTTGGTTTGAATGTTATATTCAAATGAATGGAGCAGTCAAATTGACTGCTGTTTTCTTCTTTGTCTTCCCACACAGTCACTCGACTATTAGAACATTTTCCTCAAGTTATGTCTTATTAAGTAGAAATAAGTATAAGTTATATTTCTGTGTTTTTCAGTCCGCGTCAGTCCCGAGGATACGACACGTCTCCTCTCACCAGGAGGAAGTCCTACGATCGCTCCAGCAGGTAAAGGCTCATGATCTTAGCTGCTGCTCCAAGACCAATATCAGGGAGAGACACAGCTGCGTACAGAGGTCCTACAGGGTCTTAACGGAGACATATCATGCAACAGAGTGCCCAAACTTTTTACTAAGTGGGCCGCTTGAACCAGATGCTTTAACCAGCCCAGATGTTACAACTGTTTAAATGGATTTTGGCTGTTCTGAGCTTTAATTTTATATAAGATATATTTATCATATATCTTTATCTGTGTGCTGGGTGCAGCTCTGACTGCCACCCCCCCGACCCAGAAATCTTTATCTACCATATTGAAACAGAACTGAAGTTTACTATTGTTAACCATGTCACCACATTAATGTCATATATGGAATTTTGTGACACAATAAAAAAAAACTGGATCGACAGATGATCTCTGTACACAGAAGTACATCACGTGCCTTGCTTTGTCCCTGTGTTTGTTTCAGAGCGACTGAAGGCTACACGCCGCCCTCCTCTCCTCCGCTCAGAACCAGAAACGACCGGAACGTCTTCTCTCGCCTCACCAGTCACCAGGCTCAAGGCTCAGCTCTGGACAAGTCAGTATTGTGCACACAGCATCTGCCTCTGCTCTCTCCACAGTAGGAACCAGTCTGTAGAACTTTGATCGCTGCACAAACCATCTTAGCACAACTTGAATTCAGTTTTTGTATTTTGGAGAACACAACTTTGAAGCCACTGTAGGGCTGTCAAAATAATTACTGTCTCGACTTCAATAACTAAAAAGTCCTCAGTTCTGATGATTTTATTGCTGGTATTTAGATTATCTGGTCACAGTTGTTCCTTTATCAATAATAATGATAATGTATTGGTTTCATTTAGAGCTTTTCTGGACACTTTAAGACGCTTCACATGTCATTATTCCTTCACTCATGGTGATGATAAACTACTACAGTAGCCACAGCTGCCCAGGGGCTCAATGACAGAAGCGAGGCAACCAATGTGTGCCATCGACCTCTCTGACCACCACCAATAATTCACGGACACACCAGACTCATTCTAGGCAATGTGGGTGAAGTGCCCTACTTAGCTTCAAAGGGTTAGATTTAGGGACGTCACAAATTAACACAAAGTTGCCTTTTCTCTCCTTTAGCTCCACATTCTGCTTGTGTTCAAATAGTTTGCTTTTAAATTCTTCTTGTAAAGAAGAGCCGTGTGAGTCGGTATTTGCCTCTTTGGGCTGAGACTGGGCTAACTGGCGGCTGTGACAAAGGGACAAAGTCAAATAGATTTTTTGTCTTTCAGTGTTTGAAAGTCAGGTTATTTTCTTTAACCTTTCCAAACCGCACTGTAGCTGCTTTTCCCTCGCAGCGTCTTTGTGAATCTATGTTTGCTGTAAAGGTTAAGGTGGTCTGGGTTTTTGTGTAGAAAGTCTTCAATGAGCTTTGAAAATGACCTTTCAGGGCACGTAAACAGTACAACATGCAGTCGCCTCGCAGCCATGAGCTCCCAGGTTGAATTCTATCACTGCTTTGGGCATGTATTTTTGGTTATCTGAAAAAAACATTAGTCGACTCATTTGATGATCAATATTGGAACTAACAACCCTGACGAACACAATACATCACTGAATCACTGAGTCTGAGAACCCATCCATCCATCCATCCATTTTCTTCCGCTTTATCCGTTGCCGGGTCGCGGGGGCAGCAGTCTAAGCAGAGACGCCCAGACTTCCCTATCCACACACACTTCCTCCAGCTCGTCCGGGGGGACCCCAAGGCGTTCCCAGGCCAGCTGAGAGACATAGTCCCTCACGCGTGTCCTGGGTCTTCCCTTTCGGGAAGACCCAGAGCCTTTTGGCTCAGCTCCCTCTTTACCACAACGGTCCGATACAGAGACCGCATCACTGCGCACGCTGCACCGATCCGCCTGTCAATCTCACGCTCCATTCTTCCCTCACTCGTGAACAAGACCCTGAGATACTTGAACTCCTCCACTTGAGGAAGGACCTCTCCACCCACCTGAAGAGGGCAAGGCACCTTTTTCCGGTCGAGCACCATGGCCTCGGATTTGGAGGTGCTGATTCTCATCTGAGTCTGAGAACCATTTTCTCATTTGAGAGGAGTGGTTGTCCACAGGGGCCTCTTGGGCTGTATGTCTCAGCGTCTGCATATATGCACCAATCTTATCAATTCAACCCAAAAACCTTTAGTTGAATTAGGACAAGAAGGGAAGAAGTGTGAAAATCGTTTGTCCCCGTTCTGTCCAAGCGCACATAGGTTTGCCAGTCTCGGAAACCAACCAGAAAAGTTGTGTATTTTAAATTGTCAAGGCACATAAAAATGTCGTCATTATAGAATTAGAGTGCTTTTTGATGTTTCTGATTACAATGTATGATTAATGAGCTCATATTTCCGGATTTGCCTTTTGACTCTCCCCTCTTTCGACTCTCCCCACCCTCACATATGGGGACTGACCCAAAGGAAAGAGTGGATATAAGCAGTCCAAATTAGTTTCCTCCACTCAGTGGCTGGGTTCTCCCTTATAGGATGAGGAGCTCAGTCATACAGGAGTGGCTCGGAATAGAGACGCTGCTCCTCAAGAGGAGTCAACTGAGTTGATAAGAGGAGATAACTGTTTAGAATGCATCCTGTTGCAAAGGCCCCAAGGGAAGATTCAGGACACCGGGACTAGAATAGGGTCTCACAGCGGGCCTGGGAACGTCTCGGGATTCCCTTGAATTCTGCTAAAGTTTACTTTGTGGAATCTGCTAGCTTTGTAGCAGTAGTTATCTGTAGGACTATGGAAGGTTGACATTTTTATCTCACATTAATGGCCTAAACAAAGTTGTCCTTTTATTGCGGCCTCTAACTACAAATGATTTTATCCATTCATTAAAACGGTATAATTTTCCTCTTGCGTCACCCCAGACACCAGAGTACACAGTCCACCTCCACAATCAATTCTTTCAGTTTTGAAAAATGCCTGCCCCTAATCCCAGCCTGTCTATTTGTTTTTCGTTAAGTCTGTAATCTTCATTAATCCTCTGTATATGCCAACTTTAATTGGATGTTCACTTTATTGGTTTGAAGTTGGCAATTCGCAAACTTTTACCTCAAAGAAAGTGCCTGATATGGCAAACTATGGAACAATTAAAAATGAAGACAAGTTAGGAGTTACTAACAGGTTAGTTAGGAACAGCTCATTTGGTCAAGGTTGAGGTTGCCTATAGGGTTGGCTTGCACCGGGACAAAATACCAAGAATTTAAGCAGTCCAGTTCAACTACCGGTTGGCCCAGTAATTGCAGACTCTGAATACATTAATATAAGTCATTCCACAGCATTTCTGTTGACATTTGTGGCGGGGTCATACCCAACAGTTCCAGACAGGAAAGACAATGAGAAGCATATTTTCAACGGTTCTGGTCTCATTTTAGTGTGATTATAAGTTTGAAAGGTAATTTCTCAGACTGTTCTGGTGCGATCAGGGCTGTAGTTTCTGCTCAGGGTCTGCGCTTTCGTGCTGGGCCCTCATTATTGAGCTGAAGTCATGTTGAATTTGGTTCATGTCAAACCAGTGGAGGAATATTTGTTTTCAGGGTCCGTTCCGCGGCCCACAATGCACCAGGGGGAGACTACCGTTTTCTGCTTTTTGACTTTTTACATTGACTTTTTCATTTGTTGTTTGTAAGGGGTGAAAGCTGGTAAATTAGGGTCATAAACTGTTTAATAGACAAAGAGAACACCGCTGCTTATTTGTGTCATTCACAGATTGTTTCTTGGCGGTCTTTTGTTCAGAAAAAGTAAATTGTGATTTATACATGTGAACTGTTATCTGGGGACACATACAAGATATTGATGTCATTAAAAATGAAAATATTCCATTATGTCCCTTTTAACTGTGAACCTGCAGATAAAGGGACGCATACAAAATTAGTAAATCATATTGTGCCCAAAACCCTGGATAATCTGCCTCATTTTATTTGAAAATCTCCAATTATTCTTATTTAGACTTTAGTCGAGTAGAAATCTGTCGTTGGACATACTGTATCTCTCTGCGACACTGTCCTCATTAGTGGAATATTTCTCCTAGATTTGTAAAAGTTTCATTGCCCCATTTTCCTCCCCAACTGAGTTTTCCTCTTAATAAATGATCACAGGATGGAAGTTCCTGCCAAAGTTCAGTTTTTACAAGGAGTTTGTGAGAAATCCGGCAACAATCTGTTTCCATAATTATATGTTGCTTTTGTTTTTGCAAGTTCAGGTACGAATAGTCCCTTTTTTGGGTAGAAATGATTCAAGTTGAGGTTTTACAAAGATGCTTTACAGAAGAAAAATAACAAACAAAAATAAAAAGCTAGAAATAAACAGTTGAGTGTAGTCCATCTCTGTGAAGAATAGCCCCATTTCCACCAGCTACACTTTGCCCTACTCTGCTCTATTTTCTTACCCAAAATATTAGCTACAACACAGCACATTGGAATATGAGCAGCGAAGACAATAATAAGTACACTCATATATAGATTTTTTTTGCTATTTATATATATTTATGTATGTTTTGGAGCTCATGTCAAAAACATACATACGTTAATTTTAGCCATGGGCGAGATCATCCAAATGTGAAAAGCAAGTCGCATCACTAACATGTCATTTTGAACGCTTTTGCTTCTGGATATTATTACCATCTCTGCCTACAATGTCGTACTGAATCCTTTTCCATAATCTATCCGGATTTACACAACGCAAAGAGCAGGTGCATGAGCGGTTAAAGGTATAACACACACAATCCCCCAAATCCTCCTTTTTAAGCCTGTTCTCGCATTCAAAGGCATATCCCCCTTAAACGCGTTGCAAAGCCACGATAACATTAAGCCAATATCCCCCGTTAGCTGACAGAAAACACCCGAATATATGAGATCAACTCACCTCTTCACCGTGGTCCCCAAAGATGGAAAACGGGTAAATATTTTATGCCGTGACAGGCCCCAGGCTATGAAATATTTACTGTATGATTCCATTTTTATTGCGCTCATTGCCGGATAAAGCTGCAGTTTTACGGTCCCTAGACAAAGATAAACGCAGGGCTGAGAATTGGACCCAATACCTTCACATAACAATGTTTTCTCTCTACATTCTTGCCGAGGATAGAATAGACTGCAGTATTTCCCCATTGGCCCCAAGGCAAATAATTGTTTTAAGTTTTTATATTTCTCTTCCTTCCAATTGTTTGCGATGGATTTCAGTACTTTAATGCAGCTGCAGAACTTGTATTTGTCAAACTTGGAAATTGCAAGATCATTGTTTGACTTTCTGCTAGCTGCTTGCCTTTTGATCTGTTGTTGCTTGAAAACAATTGTTTGTAAATGCTGCTATTAGGTGGCCTGCAGAATCTTTTCCAGGAGTCTGGCCCACACTGACTTTGGGGCAGTGCTTAGAAAAATGCCACATAGACGTTGCGTTCACCAGGCATAAGATACATTTGTCCTTCTACAAACCAAACGGGCTCGAGCTGCCGACAGTGACTGCCTCCGTACAGACACAGCTTTCTCTGTGATCTTTCCATGGTCTATAACAACCCTTGTGTTTGCCTCTTGTTAAC